TCGCGACGCGAGCCCCCCCCCCCCCCTAAACTCCCCCTTCCCCCCCCCGCACCCCTTGCACGGGACCCTGGGAAGGGCCTCTCAGCGCGGCACGACTGCCGCGGAGTACGAGCCCAGTCCTTCCCTTCATCAACCCCTTGCGCCGCTCGGTGGCTGTGCGGAAGCGGCCGCGTGGCAGTAGAGAGAGGCTTTTGGCCAGGGAGCGACCCGGCGCCAGGCCCCCTCCTGTGGGCGAAGCGAGAGTGCATGTCTGATCCAGTGTTAGGTCCCTCCCCGTCAGATGCTACACCATCCCCTCCCGTCCCGCTGCCTCACCCTTGCTCGTATGCTCTGCAGATTCAGTCCGTCCCGCTCGTCCCAACCCCCTTTGGTCTTTGCCACTCCTTGACACTGCGAGGGCGCTCTGTAGTGCGTCCTACACCCCCTCCTCAAACTTGGATTTTAAAAGTCGATGAACATGCATCTTCTCGGCGTTTACGTCAGGGCAGGTGGAGAGTCACAGCGAGTGGGGAGGGGCAGCCCACCCCGCCACGCCCCTGTGCACATGAAGTCTTCTCGGGGGTGGGGGCGCGGGGGGAAGCACTGGCTGCCCAAAGAATGAAGCTTGAAGGGAGGGGAAAGGGGATTCAGGGCTGGGAGGGTGCAGGGCAGGAAACTCACGGCCGTCGTTACGGAGATGCTCAGGGCCAGGGGTGGAGTTTTCCTGCACCGCCATGCATGGGCCTGCCTGCCTGAGTCTTGGCGGGGGGGGACACCCAGGACCAGCGTCAGCAGGCCACGCCAGGCATCACACATCCGTGCGCCCCACGGCGCCGGGGCCCACCCCTCACGACCCCATGCGCTGCTGGAGCATGGCCCGGTGGTGAGCCAGGGCCCCTGGGTGCATGACGGGGACGCCAGCAGCCACGCCCCCCGGGGTCACGTGCATCATGCCCATGCCCGGGGCGGCCATGTGGTGGCCCATGCCGTAGGCCAGCAGGGACGGCTCCGGCGGCGCGGGGGAGGTGATGTCGTGGATGCTGGCGCGCCGCTTGTCCTTGCGCGACTGGCTGTTGAGCCGGATGAAGTACTTTTGCGCGTGGCTGGCCACCTGGGTGGGCGTACGCGTGATGACAAAGTTGCGGGAGATGCTGCGCCAGTCGCCCTTGCCGTACTTGGCCAGGCCCATGAGGAAGAGGCGGTGCTCCTCCTCCGTCCAGGGGATGCCCTTGCGCCGCTCCGTCTCCTGGGACTTGACCTTCTTCTGCAGGTGCGCCTGGATTGGCGGGGGGGGCAGGTTCCTTTACATTGGATCAGCAAGAGAACGGATTGCATGCTGCGCAGTCGCAGTGTTGAGAGCCACTGAAGGGCTTCCAGAGTTCGACAGAGCGAGGCACCACGGCAGGGAACATTGATTGCACACAAGAACAGCAGACGCACCACGGAGAGGGACTCCCCAGGCACAGCATAGTTGGGGAGCAGGACCCTCCCCTCCTCGACGCTCATGACATCTCTCTGTACGGTGGGAAGGGGCAGACAGCGAGGTGTAACAAACAAAGTTGAGCTGCGTTCACGATTGCAATTTGTGAGGGCATGCAGTGTTGCGGTCAGGTCTTGCCTGCTCCTCACCCGCACAAAGCAGGGCGGGGCCGTCACCGACAGAATATTCACACGCCTGGGCGGCGTCGCCCAAACCCCACAAAGGAAACACCACGCACCTCCAGCTGCTCCAGCCGCTGCCTCACAGACTGCACATCCCGCCGAGCGAGTTGGGTGGCGCAGCGCTCACATCGATCGACCCGATCCCAGACGTGCGCCAGGGCGTCCTCAAAAATCTTGTCCTCCTCCTTACTGCGAGACAGGGAGCGGGGCCTGGTGTGACGATAATCTCTCGCCATGCGCTCTTGATTGTGCATACCCTCCTGCCAGTAAATCCTCCCACCTCCACGGCTCCTCGACCATGCCGGACGGTGTCGACGACCCTGCGCCCCCCAGCATGGGCGCGGACAAGAGGGCGACCTCCTCTGCACAGTCAAGAATCACAAACCATAGCACGGACTGCCAGTCAACATCCAAAGGTACGGGAGATCATCGATCACCGGGGCAATGCCTGGTGTGCAAGCTCCGACCTCGACTCGGAATGCCGTGGCCTTATCGCTTTGCATCGTCGCAGGAATTCCCTACTTTCTTCGGTTCGACATGAACCTCGCGATGGTTCTCGAGGAAATGAGCGGTCTGCCAAGTACTGACCAGGACCCTCTGCAGAGGCATCCATTTTATGTGATATGAAAGTATTGCAACGTCTTCCAGTATATCTGTCACCTGGCATAAACAGGCAATCGTGAACGGTGCTTCCTTCTCGCTTCCGGTACTAGACCCAACCTCCGCGGCAGAGAGCATTGCACGCCATGGGGCGTGACTTTTATAAGATTCTGGGCGTCAGCAAGGACGCCAAGGATGATGAATTGAAGAAGGCTTACAGGTACGGGACCGTTGAGAGTGCCGGGCTGGGACAGCAGTGCCTCTATTGTTGACGCCCCTGGTCCTCACCACCGCTCCACCCTATTCTCGAACATGACGCAGGAAGCTGGCCATGAAATGGCACCCGGATAAGAACCCTGGAGATAAGCAGGTGGGTGGGAGTCTTGGGAATGTCAGCCGGTGCCTAGCAGGGTCCCTGCTTCCCGGCCACTGCTGCGACTCTGGATGTTCATGCCATGTCAGCGCACGCTCCAATCATGGATCCTCCCCTGCGCCCCATTTGATCAGGCAGCAGCATCCGAGAAGTTCAAGGAGGTCAGCGAGGCGTACGACACGCTGTCTGACCCTCAGAAGCGGCAAATATTTGACACATATGGCGAGGAGGGACTGCAGGGCATGCCCCCTCCCGGCACGGAGGGGGCCGCAGGACCGGGCGGCATGCCCGGCGGCTTCCCTGGCGGCGTCCCTGCTGGCGGCTTCCCAGGGATGGGCGTTCGATTCCAGTCCCCCGTCGCCGGGTTCTCCGAGGATACGGCCCGACGCATCTTCGAGGAGTTCATGGGCGGAGACCTGGGCGGCATGTTCGGCGGGGGTGGACTGGGCGGAGGAGCTCGCCGCGGACCCTCCTTCCAAGGTATTTTCGCAGAGTCAAGGAAGCGCCCTCATACAGAGGGTGAGGGCGGCGTGTGGCTCGTTCTTGGGTCCCCATGAAGTGCATTTTGAGGTATACCGCTGTATGGCGGGTGTGACGAACTTTTTCAATGGATGCTAGCAGCATGCGGCGGGGCTTGGATGTGTTGCCAGGACATAATGCATGCGTTTCACTCCTCCTTTCATTTGCGCTCCCACCGTGCAGGCTCGCAGGGTGGTGGCCTGGGCCCGGACCTTTTTGGTAGGAGGAGCAGCCGCGGGTTCCAAGGCATGGGTGACGACATGGGCGAGGGCCCTGCCCCCAAGACACAGAAGATTGAGGTGCAGCTGTCGTGCACCTTGGAAGAGGTGGGTACGATGAAGGCTGTGGTGTTTGGTCTGGGTCTGGGTTGGTTGACAGTCAGGTCGAGCAACATCCTTGACATTGCACTCGCCGGTGCTGGGTGGCTGCCCTCTGCCCTTGCCTCCTGCGTCCTTTCTGTCCACCTCACCACCACCGCCCCGCCTCACGACTGGCTCGACACAACATTCATTCCCAACCCACCCCTCCCGCAGCTGTTCAACGGCGCCACCAAGAAGCTCAAGGTCACGCGCAACGTGACCGACGCGGCAGGCAAAACGAGCAAGGTGGAGGAGACTCTGGAGATCAAGCTGAAGCCCGGGTGGAAGGAGGGGACGAAAGTCACCTTTGAGGGCAAGGGCGACTCCCGCCCCGGCGCCCCGCGCCAGGACCTGGTGTTCGTCATCAAGCAGCTGCCACATGCGCGGTTCAGCCGCCACGGCGACGATCTGCACTGCCCCGTGACGCTGTCGCTGGTGCAGGCGCTCCACCCCGACAGCCTGGACGTGCCCACCCTGGACAATCGCGTGCTGCGGGTGCGGCCCCGCGACACCGTGGTTCTGCCGGGGTCGCAGAAGGTCATCCCCAACGAGGGCATGCCCAAGGCGCGGGAGTGGGGCAAGCGCGGCAGCCTGGTGCTCAAGTACGCCGTCAAGTTCCCGCGCAAGGCCCTGGACGCCACCGAGGCGGCGCAGCTCGCCGCGCTGCTGGAGGGGAAGGAGTGACGGAGGTCTGACCCAGGAGGTTGACTCACCAGGAGAAGTTGGGAGGTGGAGGGGACGGTTTGCGGCCCCCGGACTTCGCTGCCGGGCCTCCCTTGAGAAGAACATGGGGCGTGCCGGGGCTGCTCCATGTCCTCCCCTGCTTTTCCACCCGGGGTGTGGAGACGCTCACCGCTCTGCAACCCCCTCTGCTCAGCTTTGATCCCCAACGGCTTGAAAGCCGCCGCTCGTCTACTCTTTCCTTCATTCCCGCTCGCTCCCCGTTGTCGCTCCAAACCCTCGGCTAGGCTTGTTTGTCCCGCACTGCACCCCACACGTACTCCCTCTCCCGCGTCCGGTGTGGCGCATGTATGTAAAGAATGTATACACGACATGTACGATCTGAGCTGAGCGTAGAGCATCCAAGCAGCGCAAAGGCCCTCTCCTGCCCTACTCCCTCCACGCGACGTGCACCTCGTCGGTGCGGAAGCGCTGGGTGCAGGCCGACTCCGCCACGGCGCAAGTCTGCCCGCCGCGCAGCGCCAGCACGCCTGGCCACGCGATCATGGCCCCGTTGTCGATGCAGTAGCGGTCGTCGGTGGCATACAGCCGCCCGCCCCGCTCCTCGCACATGGTGGCCAGCATGGCCTGCAGGCGCAGGTTGCAGCCCACCCCGCCCACCACCAGCGCGTCGGCGGTGGCGCAGTGGGCCATGGCCCGCTCCGTGATTTCCACCAGCATCGCGAAGATGGTTTCCTGGAGGGAGAAGCACAGGTCGGCGGGCGTGGCCTCGCCCTGTGTCGGTGGGAGGGAAGGGGCTGAGTGGGGGACCATAGGGGAGCGCCCTTGAGGATGACAGGTCTGGTGGTCGGACATGAGGTTCCGGGGCGGGGAAGGCATGCAGAGCGCTTTCAAGGCGTGGGAAGTCAAAGGTGCCAAGCACAGGGTGCGGGTAGTGCACTTCATGCTCGGCGGGGCGGAATTCCGACCCGCTGATACCCCCCAGAAGCAGGCCATCGCCTGGCCGTCCCCTGCTGCCCCCAGATTCAACGCCCCAGTCCCCACCCGCCCCACCCCCACACCCTCCCACACCTTGTCTAGCAGCGTGCGCGCCGCAGTTTCCACGAAGGACAGGATGCCGCTGAAGGACACGTCCATGCCCTTTACCACGTAGGGCAGCTCCACCAGGCGCCGGCCCTGCTTGGCCAGCTGCTCGATGTTGTACCCGGGCGCGGGGTCGTTGGACAGGCCCAGCACACGGGCGAAGCGGTCCAGGCAGTTCCCCACCGCCATGTCCACCGTCTCGCCAAAGATGCGGTACCGCTGGTCCGCATACGCGATCACCTGAGGGGAGGGAAGGGAGGGTTTGGGGTGTGGTCATGAAAAGCCATAGGGAAAGGCAGCAGGGGCTCACGGAAGAGGAGCCTGAGCGGCAGAGGATAGCAACGGGCGGAATGGGGGCCGCAGCGCGCGTGTCGGGCATGCAGACCAGGGCACACTCACAGGTTACCCGCAGACACCCGAACACCCACCTGGGTGTTCCCCCCGGAGACGTAGAGGACCACGGGGTCGCGGGCGCCCGTGACCAGGCGGCCCATTTCGATGTGGCCCACGCAGTGGTTGACGGGCAGCAGGGGGACCCGCCAGAGCTGGGCCAGCATGCGGGCGACCACGGCGCAGGACACCAGGGGGCCACCCATGCCGGGGCCCTTGGTGAAGGCGATGGCGGTGATGTCGCGGGGCGTGACACCCGCCTCCTTGAGGGCGCGCTGGACCAGGGGCAGGGCCCACTCCTGGTGGTGCAGGGCTGTTTCCCGGGGCAGGAAGCCGTGGCCGGGGGGGGAGATGTACCTGCGGCGCGGGAGGCATAGGGGGGTTGATCATGGATTCTGACATTGTGTGGAGCGGGCCAACGCACAGCCGCTGTACTGGTCCTCATGGTGCGCAGGCAAGCTGCTGCCGACACCTTCCTTGCCCTCCACACCAGACCCACGTGTGTCGCGGGTTGCTCAGGATGGTGCCATCCTCCCGTACGATGCCCACGCCAATCTTGTTGGCCGAGCCCTCGATGCCGAGGACCACAGCCATGGCTGGTCGCGCGGGACCCCGGGTCCACCCGGGGAGGTCGACAACCTGTAGCTCACTTTGGGGAATGTCGCCTGAAACGACCCAAGGGCGATATTTAATCCCGATTCAGAGACGCTCGACTTTGTCAGGGAATGCGTTCACAGTGTGGGTACTGGTAATGCATGTATCTTCAGCAATACCACTTGACAAAACATGTGCTGCCCTGCATGCTGTGCCGAGACCGATCCTGGGGGATCCCGGCAACTGTTTCGAACAAGCCAGCCTACCGCTGATTCCCTAGACCACATGTCTCTGTTACGACACGTTACAGCAGCAACCAGGGACACAAGCTTCATCCAGCAACGGCGCAGCATTCCCTCACGCAACAGGGCCCTGTCCAAACAGGTCCAGCAGGGAAACCCACCGGAACGCGCAGCCGTCTCGAATGCCCGCTGTGACCTTGGCGGCCGCGTCCAGGGCGGGGCGCAGGGGCACCAGCTTCTGCGCGGCTGCTGCGGCATCCTCCCTGCTCAGCAAGCCCAGCGCGCCCTCCACGTCCACCATTCGGTGGGCATAGCACAGCTGTGGAGTAGGTGAGGAGGTGGTGTTGGCGGGCTGGGTTGACTGGACTGCTCACCACCCTGCAGCTGCAGAACAGGGTCAACACCCTCCCTCCTCCCTCCTCCAGCCCCATTGACCGCAGACACGCACCTCGGTGTACAGGTCGGCCTCGTCCATCTCGCGCCGCATCGTCCCCGAGCACTTGGGGTCCGGGGGGAACGACCCCGGGGTGCCCCCCTCCGCGCCCAGGCGCAGACACACGTTCCGGGTCCTGCAGGGCAAGAGCGCGTCGTCGCTCGCCGCCCAGCCCTCGTAGTACCTGTGGATTCAAGGGGCGGAGAACAGGGGGGGGGGGGGGGGGGGGCGGGGGGCGC